CTGATGACTGTACATTCCATTAGAAAATTTCTCTTTCAATGATCTCCTTATGCAATGAACCATGAAGAATAAACCTTTGAATAACTAGAATTGCTTTAATGGTTGAATGCCTTCTTTATTCTAGGCTGTACCCACCTTTGAATGAAATTTTTAAAAGCAATATGCAGTGTAAATATTAACTCTATGTTTGCGGTAACTTGGATCACATTTATATATGTATGTGCATACATCATAGCATACTTATAAGGATTCTGAGTGACCTAGTTGAATTAGCATACCCTTTGATATTTCATAGCGTATTGAATATCTATGAAATTACTTAAAAAGTTTCTTTACTATTTTTATTATTTTATTTACTGGAAATCCTTTATTTACAGTTATATAAATTTTTATGGATATAACTTTTTACGATTCATGCATAGAATTTAAAAGAAATACTTTGTTTTGTGTATAGTAACAAGATCCATAACTTTTTTTCTAAATTTTATAAATATACAAATTTATGGAATAGGTGCGCAAACATTCTCCCGAAAACATCCCTTGTCATGTTGGCTATCAACAATGTTGGTAGTATTTGCAAGTGGTATGCTATGCAATGGACTCTTGGGGGAGCCAATTATCGCACCATTGAAAAATACACCAGAAATTGGAGTTGCAACCGTTGTTTGGTCAGTATATTACTGTTTATTTATAGTTAAATACAAGTGTTTCTGAAAGCTATTTTGCAGTCTATTACAAGTAATATTAATAAAATACATTTATAAATAAATTTATTAACGCATTTAGGTATGTGGTATTTTATACACCATTTGATATTGGATACAAAGTAGCCAAATTTCTACCAGTAAAACTTGTATGCGCAGTTCTGAAAGAAATATACAGGTAAACATGCAAAAATATTTATTGTTATTACTATTAGTAGTAGTAGTAATTTATATTTCTTTCATTTTTCAATAATTTTAGGTGTAAAAAGGTATACGATGGAGTCAGTCATGCAGGAAAACTTTACCCAAATGCATATCTTATCATGATCTTAATTGGAACACTCAAGGGTAAACATTAATGTTAAAATACTAATGTACAAAAAAAGTATATAGCGAAAAACATAAACTTCACTTACTCTGTTTATTTGCAGGCAATGGTGCAGGCTTTACAAAATTGTTTGAACGCCTTATACGTGGTATATGGACCCCAACTGCTATGGAATTCATGCAACCTAGCTTGTACGTATAATTTCTTCCTTTGTTTTCTGTAAATTATTTTTACAATTAATAACGGAATATTTTACGAAAAATAATTTATTATTTTAGCCCTACGAAAGCTTCAATGGTTGCATCAATCATTTTCGTCCTAGACAAAAAGACTGATCTCATTTCAGCACCTCATGCAGTGGTTTACTTTGGTATTGTTATCTTCTTTGTGTATTTCAAGGTACAAAAACATTTCATTCGCCGTTTAAGGATTGTTGCTTTTCTTATACCAATTCGAAGGATTTTTTAATATTCAATTGTAATGTTGTCAAATTTGTTTTAGCTGTCATCCATTTTACTGGGCATCCATGATCCGTTTGTACCTTTCGAAAATCTGTTCTGCGCGTTGTTCCTCGGAGGTATTTGGGATTCGTTAGCCAGATTGCTGGGCCGAGGCCAAGCCAAAGACGAGAAAGCAGATGCCAAGAAAAAGGACTAAACGTTTGTACATTTTGTACGTATACCCTTAAATAATACTATGCGTGCGAATTACATAACTCTGTTTCAAAACGAAACGTAGAAACGTATATTATATTTATGTTATTCTTCGACAGGTGCATAAAGTTTCTAAAGAAATTAATTTTAATATTAGCAACGACTTGCTAAAGAAACAATGAACGGAAACAATTTGAAACTAGCCATATGATACTCGCATGTTAAAGCGTGACCACCGACAAATCATTAAATATCAGAAGTACAATAATTTATTATTATATATATTTTAATAAGGATGAGTGATATATACAGCGGGGAGTGTGACTTCAATTACTGAGAAAATCAACAGTATTATGTCTGTTAACAACCATTTGTCACTGAAGGTGTAATTTAATAGCACGCTGTTCATAATCAATCTGACGATTTTATAAAAATGATTGTAATTTTAATATTAATTATATCGGATAATCGAAAATGATTGTTCTTAGAAACGATAAGGTATACGTAATTTGATTGCGTGAGCATTAGAAATATGTCCCTTGTTGCCGATTTTTTGATAATATATATATATATACCAGACATGAAGTTATAGCGAACGAATTTAAAGTTATCGATACGACGATTTTGACGTATCATACGCAATCTTCCTTATAATGTAAATGCATGTCAAAAATTATTAAGATTAATTTGAAGTATCTTAACTTTGGCATGCATCTAGTAGCGACAAGAAACTGAATCGTTGTTCTATCGTGCGGTATCTACCATGAAGGTACGAGCAAACATACTCAGGTTAATGAAGTTATATAGTTTCGATGCATATTTCAGTGATAAGATTTCGATTATAAAATATTTGACAGAAAATTTAAAAATATGTAAAAATACACAACGAGGTAATTTGCGCCTCTTTTATACTATTTTATTACAATATCAATGACTGGTAAATACTTACACGTACAGGTATCAAAATATTTGCCTTTGACTCAACGATGTGAACAGAATTTATTATGAAAATTAAATGATTTAATTTTCATATAAATGTTCCACTGTCAGAACGTTGTACATTTTCATGTAATAAAATGAAGTTTGCTCTTCCATTTTCGTAGTCCGATACATCATCCTTGAGAGACTAGTCTTAAAAAGAAAACATTTTAATGCCAAATATATTTATGACCTACTCATTAATGTTTAATTGCGATATTGATGAAAAACTCATTGATGATATGTTCGAAGTTACAGTAGAAGAAATCGATAAATCGATTTCTCAAAATAATGTGCAATGTAATTTCCTGTAGTTTGTACATGAATATAGTTCAATACGTTTATTAAACTGGAAATAGACTAAAAGTAACAAGCGCAAAAACAATTCTAGTCTAATTAATTAAAGTTCAACCCTATAACATTAAGGGCGTACCCCGAGATAAAATTCTGTATAATCAACTTGATTGATTATACGTCTATATGTACTATCCACGAAATTTGCATGTAAATTACAATTATTTGCTTCTTGCAAAAGTGCATTTACGTGTTGGTTTCATACATAACGGAATTTTAGAACTATGGATATTGTTAAATGCGTCGACATTCATAATATTCGTCCAATCCTGATGCAGTTTGTTCTTGCATTTATCATCACAAGGATCCACGTATGATCGTTCACGATAATCACAATTAACATGGTATTTGTGCTCTTCCTGATTTAAAGATTCTTCTTGCTTTGATCGTCGACAAACTGTATAAGGGATGCAAGTGAATCTGTCACATGCTTTAATACGTTTGTTAGAAGATTTCATTTCAAGCTCATCATCAGTTTTTGTAGTTAGCGTTTCCTTGTTTGACTTTTTAGTTGTCTGATTTTCAGTACACTTTATCACTCTGACTAATATAGGATCTCGTTTCTGAGTACCAACAGTAATTTTCTTTTGTTTATCCATATTCGAATTATTCGAACACAGAGAATTATCCAAATCATTTTGAACCACTGCGTTGCAAGTCTGTAATAATGATCCATTAATACCAATATCTCGGCACTCACAATGGGTACAGATTCCTTTATCAGTGACTGAACGTTCTAATGGAGAAATTGGGCCAGTTCCATCTCCTTGGACACCAGTGCATTGATAAATGGGTTTATAAAGATCTTCCTTGGTCATCGTCAGTTTATTTACACAGACGTTAGGAGTTTCTGCATCAACCAAGGTTTGTATCGATTCATCTTTAGAGACACTGGTTTCCATTACCGTCATCGCGAGTTCTTTAATTTTGTTCACCATCTCGGTTGTATCAGTTGCACAACTAACACTGTACTTTTTCTGTTCGTCTAAAATTAACGTTTCTCATATGACAGGATGCAAAGAAAATTCGAAGTTCAAGTAACTTACAATCGGTTTGCGACTTTACACATTGAGACACGCGATTCAATTTGAAAGATAACATCTTGTACAAAAGTTGTTGCAATGCAGATGTTACTGTAGGCTCCTTCATCAGTTCGGACACATTACGCGGGCACGTTTCCGTATTACATGACTTTGTGTATACCTCAGCTGGTGGCGAATCAAAATATTTCAGTGTGACTAATAAAGTGGGAAGTACGTATGAAGAACAATTCCAAATACTTACTTTCGCCCGTCGCAACTTCTTTGCAATCTTTATGTCGGATACGACGCTTCACAGATCCATGGGACTTTGCTCGAGTTGGAGGTATACACTGTCCGCCAATACAAATACTTTTAAAACTTCTTGGAGTTATAGAATCTTTACTATGAATTTTATGAACAGATGATGTTGTTCCAATGTCCTTCATTTTCTCAAAAGAGGAAGAACGAGTCAAATTTCCTCGTGAGATGCAAATCGTGCATTGGATTTCTTTTGCTGCTTGGTTTTCTTTATTTATCACTAGATCCTTTGAACTTTGTTTTGCACTATGGACTCCTGATTGTTTTTCTTTTGTACGATCTAACGTCTGAGTAGAGGCACAATGACTAATTTTATTTGATATACATATTGTACATTGTGTTCCCCACTCTCTGGAAGTCACGGTATTAGTACATGTATCATTTGCATTGAACTTAGGAGATAGTTGCGTTTCCTTTGTGCACAATTCAGGTTTCAAGCACTGAACTCCTTGAGTACATTGACAAACACTCTGAGTTCCTACTGTATTCCCCCCTGAACCTGTTTTTGAATCTGGCAAAATAATTTTGAATCGAGTATTTGCTTCTATGATACCACCTTCAAATATATTTGTCACAGTGGGATCAAGTTGTACCACCTGTGTTTGAGAGGATTCTATAGTCTGCACTCCAACATTTAATTTTGGGAGCGTAGTTGGCGCAGAGGATAATGCTGTTGATTTGTGTAAGTCCTTCACATGTACAAAGTCTCCAGAGTCATCTGCGTACATTTTTGCATGATTGGAACAACGTGTTATGTCCAGCAAAATTATTGTATTGCAAAGATACATCAATATAATTCTTACATCTATATAATTGTAGTATGATATACCTTTAATACATCCACTGCATGGTGTATACTTCAAGTTAGGAGAATCATTGTAGGAATTAACATAGGGAGTAACAACTCTTTGTTCCTGTTTAGAATTTTCTACATTATTTTCAATGGTTTTATATTTTGTATGTTTCCAACCACACGAAGGACATTTTAAAAATGGTGGCTCATACTTCTTGGTACTTTCTTTCGCTGGATCAATAACTGTTAAATTTGAGTGAAAACATGAGTACCGATACTATCCCATATTAGCGTGCTTCTTCTTTCAAAGACATTTTACCTGTCGCTGCCGAATTAATATTTTTTCTAGGTTTGTAATTTGAACTTCCGTTTTTTTGTCGAGCTACCGAAGTGTTTCTCGCTTGAGGACAAAGAATATATTTTGTTCGCATATTCGATCTGGTATCAGTAGTTGTGCTAGACGTAAATTTGATGCTGGAACGAGCCGATCTACTTCTTCTTGTAACCGCGTTGCAAGTCTCATTGGTACATGGAGAAATCCTCAATTTATCATCTTTTTGTCTGGGATAATGTATATTATCACTACTTAAAGATTTCAGGACTGACGTGTCAGGTGGCACAGACTTTACAATTGCCACAGAATTCACCTTTTCCTCATCATTGATCACTTTTTTTAACATATCTGCTACTATATTGTACCAGGGGAGAGGTGATTTGTATTGCTTTTGCATCTGCAGTCCTTTAATAATTCGCGATTGCTCCTTTTTGTACCTGTGCCAATAGAAATCATTAATCCCATTTGTGTACACACATAATTCCCTTTTTTAATGATTATAA